TCATTTGAAAACAGCAAAGCATAAAGTCACAGCCTGTATAATAATGTAATTGTGAGTGACAACTATTAATACCTCAGTATTAATACTTTGGTATACAATCGTCACATAAATATGGTTTCATGGTTTTTATAAAACCATGAAATATGGTTCTATAATATATAAGTTGTTCATTACTGTAAGAGCCAAAAAGTAGAAATAGCCTAAATGTTCATCAACTGATGGATAAATTGTTTTATTCATATAATGAATTATTCATTATAAAAAATGAGGTGTAATGGGGCCAGGGATTTAGTTCAGTGGTTCCATCGCCTGCCCCGAAGGCACAAGGACCCAAGTTCCATCCCCGGTACCAAAAAAAAAAAAGAAATGAGGTATTGATATATGCTACAACCTGTATGAACCTTAAAAACATTAGGATGAAAGAAAAATTCAATTACAAAAGATCACATATCTGTAATCTCAGCTCTCTTGCAAGTTCAAGCCCAGCCCTGGCAACTTAGCAAGGCTCTCTCAAAAAAAAATCATGTGTCAGACAGTCCATTCACATAAAATATTAAGAATAAACAAATCCATAGAGACAGAAAGTAGACTAATGGTAACTTAGGGGTAGGGGCAGAAGGAATAGAGGTTAAAGAGAATCTATGTTGATGGGTAGGATGTTTTAAAATTTATTAATATTATTTTTTCATTATTTGATGTTTCTAGACAGTATCTCACTGTGTAGCCCAGGCTGGCCTCAAACTCTTAAATCTTCCTGCCTCAGCCTCCTGAGTGCTGGTATTACAGGTGTCTCTTTGAGAAGAAATAAAAATATTTTAAAATTAGATTGTGGTAATGTTTGTAAAACTATATGAAAATTCTAAAAAACAATGAAATGTATATTTTAGGTGAATTATATGGTAGATGGATTATATCTCAATAAAGCAATTAAGGAAAAGTAAAAAATATTATACTAGCTATCCTTTAAGTGGTTTATATCCCTCCTTAATGTGGCACAGATGTCAATGAGGTATGCCGCTACATGGTTGTGATTGTGCAATGTTCCACTGTATTAATACACTGACATTTACTTAATATTTTGTTTTTATTTTATTTTATTTTTTTTTGGTACTGGGGATCGAACTCAGGTCCTTGCTCTTGCAAGGCAGGCGGTGGATCCACTGAGCTAAATCCCCGGCCCAATATTTTGTTTTTAAACCAAATTCATTTCCAACTGCTGTGTTAAACATCCATGTCTATACAGAGCTCTGTATACCTCCATGATTTTCATACAAAATACACAAAAGTGTTCATTTTATAGGAAATGAATAGGAACAGTCTGCACCTATAAAAGGACAGATACATACTGGGCTGGGACAGAGCTCAATGGTAGAGCACTTGCCTAACATGCACGATCCCCCAGATTTAATCCCAGATTTAATACGGCAAAAAAGATACATATGGGCCGGGGATTTAGCTCAGTGGTTTCGCCACCTGCTGCGCAAGTGCGAGGACCCAAGTTCGATCCCCAGTACAAAAAAAAAAAAAAAAAA